TAAATGAAATGTATTATTATTATTATTATTATTATTATTATTATATAAATTAACATTAAATTACACTCTTATTTTGAAACAAGTTGCAACTGTCAAAATGCAAAACATTTTAATCATATTTCATATATACACATATTTGAGTAAATTGGCTTATTTTGTATTTATATATTTTGATGTTTTTTTTTAGATATTTTGCCACACATTTTTCCACAACAAAAAGGGTGAAAAAAGGGACAAAAACCTAAGTTAAATAATATATATCGAATCAAAACATGATTAAAGTCAAAATATTTTACCATTTGCAACTGTAACAATGGATGAATAAAAAAAGTACACCCCAAAAATATTTTTAAACACTTTCTTATATTGATATACTTACTATAGGAACACTCTGTATAGTGGCAGTTCGAAATTGTACAAAAATAAAAATAAGATAACATTACAGAATCATATTTTTAGAAATTTATCTTTTGCAATTATTAACGAAAATGCCTGAAAGGTTGTAATATTATGATTGAAAATTTTATGCATTTTTATATTGTTGAATATTAAAACATCTATAAAAATAAGATGCCCAAAAATATTTACGAAAATTACAGGAACAGGAAGGTGATTGTTTCACATGATCCGTCCACCTAGTGGCATTTTACAATAAGTGTATTCGGAATAGCATTTGCTTGTTAAAGACGGAAAATTAAATTAAAAGAAATAAACAAATAATTGCAATCTTCATATTGGACTGAACTGCCAAATTCCAGCTTGATACTTATTATAACTGGACAGCCTGACAGTCACCCTGCTTTTGACACATTGTGAGGGTCCAAGATTAAAACGACTGCTTTCATCTCAAAGTGACATGCGGCTGGCGTGGACAATGTTCCTGCTGACAAGTGGGGGCCCGCCGAAAGGGTCCACTTCCATTGCTGTACCAACTAACGCGAAAGTCACAGACAATGGACACGTGCAAAATGCTGTGAGCTGTTGTTACTGTAAGCAGCCATTTCAAATGACAATTATTTTGTTGAGGCTGCTGTTTTGGCATAGTGGTGACAGAATAGCTTCCATCGCCATCCTCACACATAAGATAGATACATTAGGCTGTTGTTGCAATCTCTGTACTGATACGAGGATGATGATAACGAACCATTTGCACTGTCAAACTACAATGGTCCCTTGACTTACAAATAATCCAACTTTGGCATTTTGTTCAACAAGCCTTCACGCAGTTCTCAGCAAACTTTTGTGTAACAAGCACTAAATGGTGACAGATTTCTCTGAGTGACAGATCATATTCTATTAGTACCCTCTCTTGGTGGAAAGTTCACACTGCAGCCTGTGAGACCCCCAACTGTTAGGGCACGTCTTGTCAGGCGTAGCCACAGTGGTTACAGTGGAACCTACAAACGCCCCCTTTAACGTACAAATGTAAAATGTTCATTGTAAAATTATCTCTATTTATGTACAATATTGATGTACTAATGGTCTTGGCATGGTCATGTCTCGATTTCAATATGATAGATATATATTGCCCAACCCTAGTGTGTATGTTATTTGTCAAGATGTAGCATCACTAATTAAGAGAACGAATGGTTAATGACAGTGTAATCAGGGCACAATGCCGTCCTCCGCATGAGTTGCGAGGCAAAAGTTGCACCGATATACAACGCATTGACCCAATCGCCAGATGCTGCCAGATCGAATGAATGGTTAGTCAGTTAATTATTAGTGAAACTCTTCTATGCTTTGGGTATGTATTATAGTACCTCATAGTGGCCAATATAAGCACAACAAAAGGAGCGCAATTCCAAGAGGCACTGAAGCATGAAATCTTCATGCACAAAGTATCAATTAATGAATGCATCGCAATATCACCCTCCCCGATTCAACATTGATTCCGCAAACCCTCCAAAATGCCGACCAAAGCAAGCAGCAGTGAGGTGAACTTTTAAATCGTACATTTGGAGTCATTTTAAATTCCCCTAGAAATCAGGAACGCAGGATATAGCCCCCCCCAAAAAAGCAAGTCGTTTGTAGGCGGTGCTCGTAAGAATTTGTATTTCCCTAATGGCTGTTCGTTAACCAAAGCAATATATGTCCAAAAATGTTACACATATTGCTTCGTTTCATGAACAGTCATGGCAATGACATGTAACCTCAGTTGTACTTTTCCTCAAGCACATTTCAGATATGCATCTTTTATTTGTTGTGAATTTTCCCTCGGCATGAGCCTGAAGAAAGTGAAAAGTGCAAGTGATTGTGCTTTGTATTACAAAATACAGAAAACTGGACTACATATGCCCTGAACTGAAAATGACAACACGTAATAACAAATAAAATAAATAAAAAAAAATCCCTCTCTCTCTCTCAGAGAGCTGACTGTCTATTCAGCTAACACATGGCTAGTCTGACTAATGCACGGCACTGTATTAAATGTTTGGTTGGGTTGTCTTTGACTAATTTAATCAAGTAGCCTGCTACTAAACATCAGCTCTTGAACACACTATTTCAGTGACAAAAGAGCAACAGAAAAATCAACCATTCCCTCAATGATCAACTAAATCTGAGTTTTCACCATGTCTAGTTTTGATTCAACTTAGCTGTCAGGCTGTCATAATCATTACTGCTGGCATTCTGTCGCCAATTAGCCCATGTTACATGGGCTAAACACATCACACATTCAAACAAGAGCACACATTCAAACTAGGGCGGTAGGGAAGAACCTCTACCTTGGTCAAATGAGATGTAAGGGTTTACTTGTGCTGTCATCGAAGACTGCTTGAGCATTTGCCACCCGGAAGTATACGTGACGTGATGGAGGTCGATTTAGAGACATTTAGCCCCGGATCCCCACCCAATGGAGACCCTTTCGCGGGGAAACTGTCAGATTGAGTGACAGGGAGTGGTTCCCATAGTAACCATGCCATGAAAAAGACTGCCCATTAAACTGATTATGATCTTGTTTCCCAAATTCACTACAGTTTGTTTTGACATCAGAGGACCTGTTGCTAATTGATACGTAGCCAATAGCTTCCGTGTTAGCCAACGTAGACCGGACTAGTTTCGGCTAATGCATTAGCCGAATAGACAGTCAGCTTGTCCGCATGGCGCGCGGTGTCCCTCTCCTCTCCCCCTTCTTCCCGCTCCCAACGCCGTTTACCCAACGACAGCACCCGGGACCAGGCCAGTACTCTCTCTTCCGATCGACCGCTCCTCACCTTCCGTCACTTCCAGCACTTTAATCTGCTCCTCGGCGGCGGCGCGCACTTCTTGAACCGGAGACAGGATGGCCGTCAGGGTCTCCATGAGAGCTTCTTTTAGCCCCTGCTGGACCGGGCCGGCCACCGAACCCGACCGAACAGCGCTCATGCCTACTATGTATCGTGTTGTTTTTATTCTTCTCCTCCCTACGGGCACTACTTCTACTACTATTACTGCCACCACCACCAATGGAACGAGTCAATCCACCAGCAGCTGCCCAAAGAGAAGCAGCGAACCTCGGCCACAAAACACTCAGCGCGCCAATGCATGGGAAAAGCCGGAGGTGGGGACTTTTTTTTTTCTACTCTCATTTTGATGGTTGACAATCAGCTTTTAGTACACAATACTGCCTTCTATCGGCCATTAGTGGTAATGAACTGGAACCACATACGTACTGTACCGAATTGAACGTGAGAAACACGTAATGCATACTATAAAAAAGGACGTGTCGGGGACGGTGTACTTATACACTGGCCTGACTTGTCTGTAGGTAGCGTGGATTCGGTTCCCACAGTAACGGTGTGGATGTGGGTGTGAATGGTAGTTTGCCTCGACTGTATATGTTCCCTGCGACTGACTGGCGACCAGTTCAGATTGTAGTCCACCTTCAGCCCGAAGTCAACTGGGATAAACTCCAGCAACCCCCATGCGACCCTTTTCTGGATAAGCGGTGTTAAAATGGATAATAATAAGAAGAAGAATGGATGGACAATAATCACAATGAATGACGCTTGGCAGTCTTATGCGACATTTCAATCTATGACAAGGGACACTACTTTATGAGGCCGAGTGTCAGAGTATCCTCCCCCCCCCCCCCCCCCCCCCCCCCCCCCCTCTCGACTGTATATGTTCCCTGCGACTGACTGGCGACCAGTTCAGATTGTAGTCCACCTTCAGCCCGAAGTCAACTGGGATAAACTCCAGCAACCCCCATGCGACCCTTTTCTGGATAAGCGGTGTTAAAATGGATAATAATAAGAAGAAGAATGGATGGACAATAATCACAATGAATGACGCTTGGCAGTCTTATGCGACATTTCAATCTATGACAAGGGACACTACTTTATGAGGCCGAGTGTCAGAGTATACTCCCCCCCCCCCCCCCCACAACCACACGGTGAAGGTGGAAGTCACGGTCAAAATGAATGAAACACTGGAAAAAGTTTGTAATTTTTTTAAGCAAAAGAACAAAAAAGGATTTGTGGTTTATGTAAACAAACAAATGTTTGGCAAATGTATAGTTCCCTCCCCTGCAAAGAGTTAAAGCTTTAAAAAAAATACCCTGCACCCACATTCTGCAGAATAAGGAAAACTGGTGACCGCTCTCTCTCTCTCTCACACGCACACACACGCACGCACACACACACACACTCTTGCACTCAGCGCGTGCACACACAATATATATATGTATATGTGTTTGTGTATATGTGTATTCTGACATTTTGTATATATTAACTTGTGTTAAGGTTCAGTATTTGCCACAACACAGCATTTAGGTGCGTGACTGCTCTTTTTTTTTCTCTCCCAAAATCCCATGACCGGTAAATAAATCAAAGGAGTCAAAGCAAAAATGAACAAACGTAAGGGGAGAGAAAAACCAAAATGGAACCAAAGCAACAAACATAAGTCCTGCACAACGGCCATCGAGCTGTACAGCGCAGTGAAAACATAACTTACATATTAGCGCTTTTTTTTCCTCCTTTTTTTTTTGACACGTACAGTCGTGATCAAGGCACAAGGATCTTCTACAAGTCATTTTTCTTCATCATCGTCATTGTCTTCTTCAATATAGTTGTACAAAATACATTTTACAGTCTGTACAGGAATAATAGTCCGGCAGTAACATAAAAACGTGAGTACACAATACTGCCTTCTATCGGCCATTAGTGGTAATGAACTGGAACCACATACGTACTGTACCGAATTGAACGTGAGAAACACGTAATGCATACTATAAAAAAGGACGTGTCGGGGACGGTGTACTTATACACTGGCCTGACTTGTCTGTAGGTAGCGTGGATTCGGTTCCCACAGTAACGGTGTGGATGTGGGTGTGAATGGTAGTTTGCCTCGACTGTATATGTTCCCTGCGACTGACTGGCGACCAGTTCAGATTGTAGTCCACCTTCAGCCCGAAGTCAACTGGGATAAACTCCAGCAACCCCCATGCGACCCTTTTCTGGATAAGCGGTGTTAAAATGGATAATAATAAGAAGAAGAATGGATGGACAATAATCACAATGAATGACGCTTGGCAGTCTTATGCGACATTTCAATCTATGACAAGGGACACTACTTTATGAGGCCGAGTGTCAGAGTATCCTCCCCCCCCCCCCCCCCACAACCACA